CAAGTTTTTCAGACTTCGCCTTCTGGTGAATGGCACTATCGCGGTTTTGTCTGAGTTGATACTCAGCCCGACAGTCCTACACCATCTCTCAGTGATACGGAGTCCTCTTTGGATAATATCACACAAGGTGCCTTCATGTTTCCCCCGAGCGATCATGACTATGTCATCTGCATACCCAATGCAGTGTATTCCCGCTAGAGTTAATTCATCTAGTAGTTCATCCACCACCAAGCTCCACAGCAAAGGGGAGGTTACTCCACCTTGTGGAGTTCCTTGCGTTGTTTTAACAGCTACAGTTTTGGTGCCCATCTGAGCCTCTGCTGTTCGTGTTGACAGCATTTCCCAAAACCAGCGAATAATAGTTCTGTTCACCCCTCTTGTTTCTAGAGATCGCCTGACCACCTTATGTGGTATATTGTCAAACGCCCCCGCAATATCCAAGAAGGCACAAATTGCTGTTTCTTTGCTATCCAGACTTGTCTGTATTAGCTCCGTTAATTGGTACAGAGCAGTTTCTGTGGATCTGCCCGTTCTATATGCATGCTGACTATCATGCAGTGGTTTAACCTTTAGATGATTTTCTCCAATATGGTTGTCAACTACTTTCTCCAGCGTTTTTAGTATGAACGATGTGAGACAAATAGGCCTAAATGACTTGGGATTTGTCCAGTCAGTTTTGCCTATTTTGGGTATGAAGATTACTTTTGCTCTTCTCCATGTGGTTGGTATATATCCCATCGCTAGACTGCTTCTTGTAATGCTTAGTAGATGGTGAGTAGCTATTTGCTGACCCTCCTTTAGAAGGGCAGGAAAGATCCCATCCACTCCTGCTGCTTTATAGGGCTGAAAGGTGTCGACCGCCCATTTCAGCTTTTGTTCTGTTATTACTAGCTTGGCCACTTCCCAATCCTCCCTACAAGGATTGTGAGGTTCAGTGGGAGCTACATAAGTATCAATAGGTATGCTACCTGGAAAGTGTGTATAAAGTAGGAGATTTGCTCTCTCTTTCTCTCCCTCCGTGTAGCTTCCGTCAGATTTCTTAAGTGCCATGATGGGGATAGATCCACTCTTGGCCATAGCTTTGTGTAATCTAGCTGCATCAGGAGTAGAAGTGATGTTTTCGCAAAAGGATCTAAAGTCAGACCGCTTTGCCCTTCTTATCTCCTTCTTATACTCAGTTAATTTCTCGCTGTAGAGCTGCCATTCGCCACTGGATTTAGTTCTATTAAAGAGTCGTCGGACCTCCGATCTAAGTTTGGCCAACTTCTTGTTCCACCAGGGCTTCTTGTTACTTTTTTGTGTGCCTTTACTTTCGGGGCAACTAGATTCATATGCATCCAATATTGCACCGCTGACTTCCCTTGCGTACAATTCTAGATGCAGATGGTTTCTGGCCCTACTTGCATCTATACGGTTTAGGTTGTCTACGAGATTGGTGTTATACATGTCCCAGTCTGTTTTTCTTGGATTCCTTCGAGTTTCTGTTTGGGGTGTGATTCCTCCTAATTTGAACTCGATGATTCTGTGATCTGATAGGGAGGGTTCCGTTGAGACCCTCCATTGTTTCACGTAACTGATTACACCAGCACTCCCGATTGTTAAATCTAACACTTCTGCCCGCGTTTTTGTCACAAACGTGGGGCTGTTCCCTACATTGAGAACTTCAAGATTGCATGCTAAGAGAAATTCAAGTAAACACTCACCTCTAGTGTTAGTGTTAGTGCTTCCCATACCTCATTGTGTGTATTGGAGTCGCATCCCATTAGCAGAGGTAGTCGCCGTTGGCTGCAGAATCGCACGAGCTCCCGTACCTCCGGAGGCGGTGCCTCCCCGTCACCCGGAAAGTAAGCAGAGGCAATCACGATGTTTTTACTGCAATCCTCGATATTAAGCTGAACCATGATAGGAACAAGATCTCGGGTTGTAAATTCTGAAACACATGTGTAGTTAATGTCCTTTCTTATAAGAATACAGGCTCGGGGAAATTCCTGCCTGTTATCATATATTACCTTTGAATTTTTTCCAGACAAACCTCTAATCTGTCCCTGATACACCCAGGGTTCCTGGGCTAGTACCATTGCATAATGATTTTTCTCAAAGAGTCTTGCTATTGTAGCGGAAGACCCTTTTGCATGGTGCAGGTTTATTTGGGATATCCCATGCATGGGGGGGGAAGGAAGAAAGGATAAGTTTGGGGTGGGAAGAGGGGCTGGAGTAGGACTTTGGACCTGGTTTAGGTTACTGGGGTGTGTGAGGATTCTCCCGTTGTAGAGGGGATAGGGTATTCCTCATCTTCCTCTGACAACGGAAGTTCCTCCTCCGAGAAGTGGCCATCAACCTTCTCCGAGGATATACACCCTTCCACCACGGTTGGGGTTTGGCCCTCCGTGCCCTTCACAGTCGAGGAGCTAGTCTTCGGCTGAGGTTCCTGTGAGGTAGAGGCTGGAGGATATGTCTCCATTTTCTCTACCTGTTTAGCTTGGTCTCTTCTTAGACCTGATACCGGTGTTGTCCCGAATCTATAGTAAAGAGTGTATCCCTCTTTCTCTATTGCCTCCTTGGATTTGAGGTCAATTCCTATTGTGAGGACTTGGCCGTGGCCCTCCTCCCTCGAGTTGATGATTCGCCAACACGACGTCCTTACATCGGAGTTCTGACCCTGGATAAAGGTTCAGCAGGTAGGTGGTGTCTTTCCCTTTGCTCCTTGGCAAATAGACCGTGATGGTCGCCTCCTTAGGGATGTTTTCTCCCTTCAGAGCAACCAGTCCCGGCCCCTGCCAATTCTTAAGTTTAGGTGCCGTTTCTATCAACCAATCCGCCGATTCTGGAGATACACAGTCTATGAGGAGCATGCCCACCCGAAAGTGAATCCCCGCAAATCGCATTTGACCCACATTTTGTCCGTCGTTGTGTTGCTCTCCAATCGCCACTACTTCGTCCAGTATCGCCTCTTCTAGAGCCGTTGCTGGTCGGTGGTCAGTACAACCTCTGGGTAATCCTTTGGTAGCACTGCCATTTTCACTTGTCCAGCAATAGAGGCAAAGCTGGTGATATGTCCCTGCTTGCCTCTCGGTGTTGGACGTCTTTCCATCCTGGCTTTTTTCTCTTCTTGCCGGAGCAGAGGTGAAAGGTTTTCGTTCCCTCTTTTGCCCTTTGGTGAAGATGCGCCGGCCTGTTTCTTGGTTCCTTTGCCCTCCCCTCTATGGAGGAGTACTTTCTCTTTTGCTTCCTCTGGAGCAAGTCCTGCGTGGAGCAGTCGGAGGTATCTCCGTGCTTCTGCTCCGCTAAGACCCACTCTCAGCGGATCGTCCAACCCGCCTGGTTGACCCAGGCCAGGTAGACTAAACGGTAGTCTGTGTCGCCTGTTGGGTTTAGAGGTAAGCTCCCGACCCTTGCTAAAGGAGGTGGTAGCTTGAGTATCACTAGCGCAGGACGGTCCCGCGCAAGTGTCAGCCACCTCTCCTGTAGTTTTCTTTGGGGGGTTTGACCCCCTGGAACTTTCATTGTTCCTGTTCCCAGTGTCGCTAGGGGGTTTCCCCACAGCTTCTCCGGTGGTGTTGGTGTTTTTATTTTTATTACTGCTCATAGTGTTCCCACGAGTCGCTAGGGAAAGTCAGTCCACTTCTACAGAGCCCCGCATGTAGAAGTAAGGGGTAAATACAATGGGGTGCCCCCTGATGCCCCAAGGTTGAGACCAGTAATGGCTAGTCCCCTATCTAGCCACGCATCCCTTTGACCTGGTCCCGCCATCGTAGGATTTAGGTTTTTGGTGAGGTTGTCTCCTCTTGGTCCAGGCGGTTAAGCCAAGACCCCCCCACACCCTCTACCCGCGAGACATGACCACAGACAGTAGAAGGTGCCTGGTTTAAATGTCTTGGTGCAATTCCCTGGCCACTACAGCCAGAGACAAGACAATGAGTGAGATGCTTCTTGGACCGAGCCAAAGTGCTAGAGGAGATTCTGCCAGCACCTGACAAGGAGCTTCCCCACCAACGACAAGGTCTTGCATCTCCTAGGGGAAGATCTAAAGTAAATACCTAATATAGTTTTGATTTCAGGCCAGTTCTTGTATTTGTAATATTTTTTTTAATTAAGGTTGAATAATATAATTTTTTTAATTATTTATTAATATCTCTGAAACTATCGAAATATGTTTATCCATATCTTAGGATTATGTAAAGTGATCTGAAAGGAAGCCAAAAAGCAATAATATATAGGGTGTTTCATTTTAAAAAAATCATCCTGATCCACTCGCACTTTTTTGAGCCACCCTATAGAAGTTAAAATATTTTCCTGAAATACATCGTTGTACATACTTTAGATTTACACTTAAAGAAAATTCCCAAGTTTTTTATTCTAGGAGCTACAGATGCCCGACGCACTATGTACTACACGACACTGTATGTGACAACTTGACATTTTTTACAGCAGAGCTACCACCGGAAAATCCCCAGTGGGAAAATTAATCTCCAGTTAGTGAGCCCGGCGCCGAATATGTTCATGGTTGGCAACACTGAATTTAAAAATCGCGCCCTTGATTACGTAACTAAAAGTTTAATTGGTATCGAATAGAGCTTTTCAGTGAATAACGAATTGTTTCTAGATCCATAAAAAATATTATTGAGAATTCTTTCTTAATAGAATTTTAGAATTGTGATGGCAAAATTTAAAACAATTTTCGGAAAAAAATATATAAACACATGACGTGAATTGGTTTAGACGAGATTGTGTTTTCATACTTCTTTATGGTTATGCCACAAATTAACTAGTTATGCAGAGTAAAAATTGAAATTAAATGCAACCAAAATTGTTTTTAAAATAATTGAATTTATTTGGTATTTCACTTTCTTCTTCGTCGTCTTTGTAATTTGAGAAACCCAGCTTTAAATTACCAAAAACTGACTTATAAGGTCTGTGATATTACATATTCATATATCTGCTGCATCATTTGCTTTATTTATATTTATCTGTAATTTTAATTTATTTTGGTTTTTTTTCAGAGATCTCTTCATCCCGGTAAGTACCATCATGTGCATTTGTGGATGTTAAAAACACTGGTATAGTATTTATAATAGCCTTATAATAGTAATAAGTAATAAGATATTTTTAAAAGATAAAATATTGAATTAAGGCTTTCCGATCGATTTTTCTAATACAGAAACCTGTAATTCTGTACGGTATAGTCCCCTCAGATGGTGCTTTATTGGTAGTTCATAACTGGTTGCATAAAACCGTATCTTGCTTCTTATAATAATATTTATAACCTTGACCTAATAGAAGGCCTTTAAATCCCAAAACATTCACTTTTGATATTTACTAGCTGTGATTGTTTTTAATATCAAAACATATGCAATACTTGTTGTTTTCCGGTTGAACAATAATTATTAATGTTGCAAAAAATACGCCTTTCTTTTATAGCACAAAATTCTTTCTGTGTCATGTAAACAAACAATTACGCGTTACAATTATTCGTAATATATCTGTGACTTGTATTGTTGCATGATCAGGTTACGTAAACTCGGGATTGTTGTCTTGATAAGTACGATGTACTTCCGGACAACAGTGTTGTCACGTTTCGATAAAATAGTTAGTAGATGGGAAAGTCAGATTTTAATATGGGTGGATGTACCTATTAATTTAAAACATAAAAGCCGGTTTTTACAAATCATGACACACCTACCAAAACAGTGTTTGCATGTCTGCTGTGTCAGCGACCCGGGTTTTTGGAAATGCGTGTTCCAGGTTTTGAAAAACTGGCACACATTTGCTATATTCGATTTTTGTTGTAATTTCTCACAAACAATTCATTCTCGAGCGTAAGACTGATGCTTAAAAATAGTTTGTTTACAGTTTTTGGTAGCTTTGGAATATTCCTCCTATACAAAGTTATTTGTGTTTATCAATAAATCGGAGGGTGTAGTTTGTTTTCCGGAAGAAAATTACGTTTCAGTTTATTTTTAGTTATCGAATATTTTTTCTCGGAATAGGGGTCGTTGTTCTGAACTAGGTTATAGGGCAAACGTTCTTCATATACAGTGTCACCGACAAGTTCGCCGCAAAGGTTAATTATTCTTACTTATTGATTTAGATAGTCTTTGACTTTAGCGTTAGTTTTTCCGTTGAGTTGGATTAAACATAGATAAAAGAAACAATTTTAGACTGGAAAGTGTCCATAAGGACAATGTAAATACTATTTGGCGCTGTTCTTACAACGGTCGCTCTCCAAAGCTTTTGATCATTTCGGAGCGGTTCGGCTTTTTCCGGAATTATGCCGCCAAATATTGTTTATTCAAATTTATTATTTTCTTTTAATTTTTTAAATAAAATACAGTGTGTTGCATATAAGAAACTTTATAGCATTATATAAAGACATGTGTGAAATACCTATGAAACATTGGAAATCAACGTTATGACAGTTCACACAGCTTTTTAATGCCACTGTTTCACAATTATCACGGGTTTGAGTAATTTAAAATTTAAATTAAGCTCACAAGATAGCAATAATTACTTTGAAAATGGACGCTTTAAACACTTTTCGGTATTTTTTCAATGAGGGCAGCTTAAATTTTGAAAGATTTTATAATTTTTGAAGATTCGGACTTTGACAAGAGAAAAGTATTTCTGTTCTTGTTTACGGTTCTTCTTAGCAACCGCTATAGCAACGCTCACCCTGTATATACATATATTTTTAATTTGGTTGCCAAAATTGCTATAAAATATTTTCATTGTATACATAATATGCTTATTATTTATTTATTTTATCAATATTATTTGACTATACATATTATAATTATTGATTTATAAATTTTATATTACTCTGAGCTTCTAATAAATTGATGGAAGACATTCCTGGAATATTTTTTGTATGCACAAAGACAAAGATATTAGATTACGGATTTCATTAAAACCCATTAGGAGACTTAGATGATTTTTTTCATCTAAGTCTCCTTGAAAAGATTTAAGATTTTTTTTTCCCTAAGTAAGTATTTAAAAATTCTTTTTCTTATTTTAATACCATTCAATCCTATTATATGAAATACGTAGAATATTTTACTTACACTCTTTATTATTAGATGGAATAGTTGCCATCATTGTTTATATGTATTATGATATACAGGGTGAGTCTTCAATAAGTGCAAATATTTTCAGGGCTGGTAGATCTCGATAAAAGAAACATATTTTCTGTTGACCGTTTTCCAAATAAGTCCAAAATAACGGCGTTATATTACTTTTTTGAAAGTAAAAATTTCCAAAGAAAAATAAAATAAATTTTTGCTTAAATTTTGAGAACCACTGGATTTTTTCTGGAGTTTCTTTCTTGTAAATTTAATTTTTAGTTAAAAAACATTAATTCTTGATAATATGGCAATATAGGAAGTAGATTAAACTTACAACAGAAAATCCAGAAAAGATCCAACGGTTCTCAAAATTTAAGCATTTAAATTTTTTTTTTTAGAAATGTTCAAAGTAAACTAACTCGGTTATTTTGGACGTATTTGAAAAACGGTAAAGAGCAAATATGTTTCTTTTGTTGAGATGTACCTGCCCTAAAAATATTTGCCCTTATAAGACTCACCCTGTATAAAGATATAACTTAGGATGATCTATCCTACATCTCCTTTATCATTTCAATGAAAATTCAGATTTATCTGATTAATAGGATATCGGTAGCATTTCGTAAATAGTGTGCATAAATCTTATGGATCTTTTACGTCCAAGAAAATGGGGAATGTTGAAAGATTTACGGAAATTATAAATTACAAGAGTAATAACGAGATTTATTTTTGAAAATAAATACTTTGAAGGTTTAATAATTAATGATGCACTATACAGAACGATTTTTATTCATTATCGAAGAATCGATGAAAATAAATGGTCTTGGCACAAGATAAATTAATTTATCAAATTAATTCTGGGGGTAGTTATTCTAGGTATATTTTTATATTCATCTATATTTTAAAATTAGTCCCTACATATCGTCCTATTGCTACCAAAAGTCACTAACATTTTTCCGAACAACCAAATTCAATCACTAACTATGTTTTGAAGCGGAGAATCGATTGCAAAAGTCATTAACTACGATTTCTGGCTATTTATGTTTTAGATTAATACCGAATAGTTACTAACTATAACATCTTTATGCAATGCAATTCATCTTTAGACGCATTTTTCTCGGAAGTAATAAAAAGTAAGTTAGTGACTTTTGGCAGAAATGGGACGATATAATAATTATTACAGAATACATATGTTAATATACCTTTATTTGTTAGGAAGATATTCCGTAGTGATCGAGGTAGTGATAGTATAACGCCAAATTGGCACAGACCAAAATCTTTTGTTATAGCTAAGTTGTAATTTGGATTTCATTTGGAGATGATTTTGTTCGTATATGTCCCAAGCCAAGATTTTATATACTTACGTGGATATATCAAAGCCATAAGTTTTGAAGTCCGGTTAACAAGGTACAAGTACTTGGATCAAGTACGCTTGGACACTGCTACAATGTTTGAAAATCATAGTTGTAAATCAATTAACACGATCCCAGCGGCGTCAAAATGTATTTGATCCAAGTACATTAATACGTATCTATTTTTTTTACTTTCTTATTACATCTCTTAATTCTGCTTACTTCGGCTTTCTTCGTGATCTATAAATAAACATGTCTAACACGTGTATACCCAGCTTGAAGGAGAAGAAAAAAAAATGTAACATAAGCCATCCAAATAAGACTGAAAGTCCCTTCAGAATTGGTTGAGCGCAGCGGTTTGGGAGAAAGAAAGACCGAAAAAATATAAAACAGACATGTGGGTTCGGATGATGTAGAAATATCCATATATGCTTTTCTTACTTTTGTTTATACCGGGTGTTGCATCATCGCAACGTTGGAAACATAGGGACTCCTATGAAAATTTTGAACTGTCCAAATATTGGTTCCCTTATTAATTTTACAGCTAAGTCGTTAATAGTTTTTTTACAGGTCTATCTATGAGGGCTGAATATGAGTGCCTAACTCGAACAATTTTGGACAAGTCGATTTTAAGTAATTTAAGAAAAACTGCATATATTTTTAAATTAAAACTGAACAGGTAACAGTGCAAATCCAGTCAAATGTCAACATACCTTAAGTTGTCAACCTATGATTTTATCATTGTCAAATATAATTTGTTGTGCGGTCTACACTACTATTTATAGTACCTACGCTTAGTGTCCCCCAAATGGATTCCAACTTAAAATGGCATTTTAAATTTGAATCTAGAGTGTCATGGCTGTGTTAAAACCATTAATGTTTAATCAAGGAGCTCTGGAAAAATAGATCTGATCGTTTAATGTTTTTGGTGGCTATTCCTGACCGGTTAAAAGATGCCTAAATCATATTTTTACTCATAACTCAATTGTTTCAAATGGGAACGAGGGTGGCTCATTGGGATACTATTTGGAAAACGCATTTTTTTACGAATAATTTGGCACTACACACTTGTTATTTCGAGTTATATTGTCGTTAAATGGTACGCGCACACTGACCAGAGCCGCACGCACCGCATTGGCCGAAAAAAATATTGTTTGTGTTACTTTCAATGAAGGTGCGCACACTAGCCAGAGCCGCACGAATCGCATCGACGAAAATGCGGCCAGCATTGTTGGGCCAGAATGATTTTCGATAAATGCGGCTAGTGCTGCTGACGTCACGCGCAATTCCTTCCACTCTACATAGGTAGCCGAAGATGAGATTAGAAATTCAATATGCTAAGAAAGTTCGCAAATTTTTCATGGCTTATATTGAAATATTGGAAAATGTTTAGTTCATCCTCAATTAAATATGAATATAATGTGGATTTTTGCAAATATTGTGAACCTATAACTTTCGATTCTTTCTCGTGATTTCTTCTTCTATTAGCAAGGAGCTCATAATTATTTCTTGTCCGTGCTCATTCATTGTCGAGAAATATTAAAAAAAAACACGCTTATCACCGCAGACAGGACTCCGGAAGCGACTGATCAGAAATTCGATTGGCAAA